CGCTCCGGGGTTACAACTGGAGCGTTAAAAAGAGTTGTTATTTTTTTGTTGTTGTTGTTCAGTTTCTTTTCCAAAAGTCTCTGGCTATTCCCGTTGCAAAAGCCTGCCCGCCGGCCATCTCGGTGGCTCCGCTTTCCCGGCTTGGGAAGCCCCCGAGTAACACCTCCCGGGCTAACTCTGGCGTTACGCGGCGGAGTTGGCTAGCCTGTCGTAAAAGAAGCCGAGCTTGTAGGGAGGTGAGTGGCGTTGAGTGACATCCTGGTACCCAAAGTATAAAACACCCGACAGTTGAACACCGCAGAACGGTTCCTGGCCAAGATGTGTTTTGCCCCTTGAAGTTTCATGTATCAGGTAGCTGAAATCTTGCTCCCCTGTGAGGCATTTCTTACGCTGCACGTAGTCTTTTCTGTGCGTGTGTGGTCTGTCATAGCAGGTGCTTCTCAATATAAAAACATCCTTGGGTTCCACCCTGAGCGCCCCGAAACACCAGGTTGGAAGGGTTGAGGAGAGAACCCACAGAACCCTTTGTATTCAGCTAGAGTACCTCTGCTTGGCTTGTGTAGCTACACCTTCGCTACTCTCAAGAACTCTGAGAAGTGAGGAAAGTCCTTGTGGATACGCGTCTTATGAAAGCAGAAGTTAAAATATTTTTATCTAGTGAGAAGCTGGGATTTGCTTTAGAAAATTTGCTTTAAATTTTAATCTGAAAGTATTTTAACTGTATTTGCTGCGGTATAGTACTTGCAATTAGTTGAAAAACCAGTGGGGCTTTGTGTACATATGTGTATATATAAAAGTAAATACTGCCATGTCACAATATGTCATATAATGAAAATGGCTACAATGAACTATTTGCTTCAATTTTTTTTTTACAGTGAAGTTTAAACTTTTTTAATGCATCTAAATATCAGCGTGGTTGTAAAACCACTTCTATTTAACTTCACTTGGTTTTGCAGGACTGCTAGCAGTTGCACGAAGGAGACGGGTGTCTCTTTTACCCTACTGCAGGTCTTTAGTTCCTTTTGCTATTGTGTCAAAGGCTTCAGGGTCTCACCCTGCCTTACTTCCATTCTTCTGTTGCGTAATTCTGAAGGTGTTTTGGGAGGAAGAACACTGACTTCTTTTGGCCAAGGAAAGCGTTAGGGAATGGAAAAGTGATCGTCTGATTTCTCACTTCCTCCATGTTAAAGGGCGGGGGGGCTTTTAACTTCCAGATTAATTTTTAAGGTTTGTATTCGGTTAATAGAAGGGTGCTTGTATTGTAAGTATAGAAGTTCGGTTTTGAACTGTGGAATGTTTTTTCCATGTAAAATCTTCACTGGATATCCTTATCTCAGAAGTTAAAAAATATTTCAAGGTAGAACCTCCTATAACTCTCTTAAGTTTTCTGGTTTTCTTCGGATATTTCGCCTAAATATTTGGGTAAGTTATACACTTGGATTTTTTGAGTGGTAGCCAAATTACTTTTCATGTCAGACTGTGGAATTCTGGTGAGTTCCCCTCTGCCCTACCATGATAGTGCTATTTGCAGTAGGACTATGAAGTGCGTTTATAGGGTCTTCTCAGTCTTTGGAAACTGCTTGAAACTTAGCATGGCCTGGCTTCAGGTGGAAATAAACTCCGTGAGCCTTATATTTCTATGAGGTTTGCCAGTGTTAATCTGAAAGACATAGGTTTAGTCAGCAAGGTAATGTTGTGAGTGATTACAGAACAGTGACTAAGTGATACTGAAATCCATCGTTAAACTTTTCAACTAAAATTCTGATAATTGATTTTTTAATTTTTTTTTTCTTCCTTAAAGCTAATGATTCTATCTTAAGTGATGCTAACTGCTCGTAAAGCCAGAATGGGATGCTTTATTTCTGACTAGCTGTTAATATTGCATCAGAAACATCCAGTCTTATCTGTTTTCATGCACTTGTTATCTTCTAACCTTTATTCTGTCTCCTGTTGTATTTAATTTCAGTATAGATGCTCTCTGTATAGAAAGCATACACTAGTGCATGATTATGTTTGGGAAGTGTTTTGACATCCCTTTTAGTCATGCCTGCTTTTTCATAATTGCATAAAAATACAAATATTTTGACTTGAATTGTTATGAAATGAGTCATTAAAGGGGACATGTTTCAAAAACCTGCAATTGAGCAAAGAAACAATAGCAATCCTTAAAAGCAAAGCACAGAATCCGTACTTGATGAACAGGGCTTTTTGCCTGCCTTTGTTGTTGTTTTGTTTGAATAGATGTTGCCCCTTTTGAATTCAAGATAATCCAGTTTCTCGCTAAAGATAATTTTGCTGTCGGTGATGAAAGTGGATGCAGAAATAAGTCGCGGTTCTTCCAGCAAGTCATAAAAGCAGCACTTCTCGTCACTGTGATGAGTGGAAGTACGGAGTCAGTATTGCAATGGAGTCCTACCAGCGTCCAAGAATTGTTACTGGAATTGCACAACTTTCTTTAAATTAAATATCTTTTGTGTGTGTGCGCATGTGCGCTATTTATGCAGCTCAGTACCTGCCTTCTCCTACAAGTGTGTCTCATAAATCTGTATACTGTTGAGGTTAAATCCATTGCAAACTTTGCATATATCCTTGCTGTGCATTTAATCATTGTAATCAAATACTGATTTAGGGGATTTTAGAATAACTTGCTTCTGAATTGTTCTGGGATTGTGTCTTTAGTTTATAAATAGAGGATAACTGGATAGTAAAAACATTTTCAAGGACTCGGTGTGAAACTGTTTAGCCTTGGCAGTTCATGAAATAGCGTATCATAAAATGTGCATATAGTATTAGTTAAACATACCTCTCGGACTGTTCTAAGCTTGGATAGTTTTTGAGGGGATGTAAAGAGGGCAGAGGAGACTGACCAAGTTGTTTCAGCCTTGAGATAATTCAAGATGTCAGACTTAAAACCTTGAGACCAGTAATTTGGAATTGCTCAAGAATTTGATTCCTGTGGGTTTTTTCAGCTTGAGCTATTCATAAATATATGTTTGGAAGCTGGGAACGTTACTGACGTTTTTGAGTTAGAGGGTTCTTGGTCTTTTTGCACTAAGCCAGACTTTGAAAGAGTCTTACTGTTCAAAAAAAAAAAAAAAAAGAAAGTGTTGCCAAGAAGCCTTAGATGGATCTTAACTTGTGAGCATTGTGTTACCCTGGATTTTGACTATAAGAAAGTCTAAAATGTTTCAGAATTTGTAGTTGCCTTTGTGCAGGAGAACAGAGGTTCCAAGGCGTCCCCAGACAGTCCCTGTACTCCTAGAGAAAACTCTGATTTTTTACAGACTGATGGAGAATTATGTGCCCTATTGTCAGCCTACGAGGGTAAAAGTTTAGGAGGAACAGTTACTACATGTACGGTGTTTTTTGTGTAGCTCTGTAACAATTTATCAGACTGCAGTATAACTTAGATTAAGTAACGTCAACATTCCAGGGACACATCTAGATTTTTGCAATAGCTTCAGAACATGCTGGTTTTTGTAACTTGTATTTTTTTTTCTTGACAGTTTATCCTTGTAAACTGGAGGTAGTGTAGTGCTGTTTGCTTGCCTTTTGCTGCAGGGCCTTGTGCCAGGACCTGTCAATCCTGCCACCTCCTCTTCGCTCTTCCACCCTCTCTCCCTCAATTCCAGTCCACCAACGTGGAGTGACAGGACAAGGGGCAATGGCTTTAAACTGGAAGAGGGAAGGTTTAGATGAGATGTTAGGAAGAAATTCTTCCCGGTGAGGGTGGTGAGGCAGTGGCAGAGGTTGCCCAGAGAAGCTGTGGCTGCCCCATCCCTGGAAGTGTTGAAGGCCAGGCTGGATTGGGCTGGGAGCAACCTGGTCTGGTGGGAGGTGTCCCTGCTCACCCTTCCAACCAAACCATTCTACAATTCTGTGAATTCATCCCTGTCCCATCCCATCCAGGTTTTATTTTCAGCCCATTTGGGGCCTGACTGTGAAATGGTGCTGGTGACAGGAGGGAGGAAAGAGAGGAGAACGGGACGGCAGCAGCCTGACTTGAGAAGCTGCAGGATCTCATCCTTAGGATATGGTTTTATGTTGCACTAATTCAGAAAGCAGAGTCTCCTGCACCCTGCCCGTTCCTCCTGCCCACTCCCATTTGCCCCCTTCCTTCTCCTCCTCCCTGCATCGCCTCTAACCAGCTGTGTGGTGCCCCAAGGAGCTGGTTGAGCCTGTTGAGTTGATAGAAACCTTGTGGGTTTTGTGTTTTGGTTTTGTTTTTTCCCCCCTCTTTGAAGGGTGTATGGCCAGAGCAGTTGAAACCTATGGGTAGATGAGAATGTGGGGCAGAGGATGGATGGGACTGGTAGTCCTTGTGGCAGCTGGCCATTAGGTATGATTAGATGTTATATGAAACAGCTAGAGAATTCAGCCTATGCTTATTTCTGGCTGCTCACCAAGGTCGATACAATATAGAGGTTTATTCTATATTGAAAGAATGCTGTCTATACAGGGAATGCTCCTTAACTTGTAGCTAAAGGCAGGCATGAATATTGCAATACGTAAGAGAAATGGAATTTTTTTCTAGGCAGCAATTTTTTAATTGCATAAGCATTTTAGGCCGTTACGGTTCTCTTAACTTGTTTGATCCCTGATCCAAAAATAATTCCAATTTTAGTAATAGCTATAATAATAATATCTAGTTTTGACTTAAAACATAAGTTACACTTTGAGGAGAACATCCATTTGAGCCAAGGAGGCAGCTTTTCCGCATGAGAAAGGGTGGGTGGGTGATGTGTGACGGGCATGAGCACAAGTCACCGTGGAGTTGGAGGTGAAAAAGCTAACAGACACAATGTGCGTTATGTTAAGCTGAGAAAAGCACGGTGAATGTGTGCTTTTTATTTGCTGGTTTTACGGTGAATTGGATCATCATGTTCTGTGTCCCAACGAAAAGCAGAGATTATCAGCAGAATTGGAATCAATAACATAAATGTGGCTATTTTGCTAATCTTACTGTTTTGTTTTTTCTCTTCTCTGTTTTGCTGAAAAGTATGGGAGGCACAATACCGCCTGCTCCAGCCAATGCCTCCACAGAGGAGACAAGTAAGGTGAGATATGAAGAATTTAACATTGAAAACTAACATTTGGACTCTGCAAAAATTACTGAGCAGGAGGAGAGGGGAAAAAATTGCTGTCAATTTTCACTCGGATAGGGTGGATGAATAGCTGGGGTTGAGCGAGTGTGACAGTTCAGGCTGCCGCCTGCCCGTTGGGGGTTGTAGAGGACTTGTTACAGACGGCTTTCTAATTTATTTCAAGTGTTACCATGCTCCATTTCCCTAATCCTGAATGCCTGATGTTCTGTGCAATGCAAATGCCAAACAATGTCTTGATTTCTTTTTTTTTATGTTCTCGCTCTTTGTTTGTACACCCCTTCGGTAGTCATTAGTGGATTAATCTACAGTCTTTGCATGAGAAGAAATATTAACAAGCATGAACAGTTGAACTATCAACTTTTTAAGGCAATATTGTGGGAGAGTTTTTTTTGTTGGTTTTTGTTCATTTGTTTTAGGGGAGATAATAAATTTGGCTTGTACATATTTATAGCAGGATTTTCCCAAGCTTGAAATTCTTTTGGAAAAAGTAGAATTCTTTCTTTTTGGATTTAACAAGACAGTAGATGCTGGAATTACTGACAAGTTAGAACTGTATGGAGGGATGGTGTGCATGTGGTAGTGTAGTCTGTGACACTGCGTATGAAGACAGCTTATGTCTGTGATAAAGCACGATGTGCTAAGTTACGGGATTCAGAGGAAATTAGTAATGTAGTTAGAAGCTGCTAGGAAAACATTTGCAAAAATATTCTAAGTATGTACAAGTGGCAAAGATCTCTGACCCTGGCAAATGGAAACACTATTTTAATCATCAATACCCATTTATTGTTCACTGCTAAGGGACCTTAGCTTAACAGTATTAGATTGAGAGAATTTTTGATCCAGAGAATGTGTGAAGGAAGGCAGGAAGATTGGAAGGGTTGGTTAGTATTCATTGCAAAACTGATTCTGAATTGGGTATTATCTGGTTTTGATCATGGAATTACGCAATTTGAAGGACAGGCTTTGCCGATAATAGAAGTTGATGAGTCAAAATTAGGGCTCTGAATTATTTGCATGCACAATAGACTTAATCATAGAGGAGGAAAGAGGAGATTTTAAGATGTATCTTAAAAATAAAACAGTTTAGCCATAGAGCAATCTGATGCTTTGAAGATTAAGTTTGGATTTTCTGATGCGTTATTATTTATTAGAGTGGGAATAGAGTATCAGTCGGAAATAATACATGCTTACAAATACATTTCTCTTTCAGGGCAAAGCAGAGGAACAGCCAGAGGAGCCAGTTAAATCACCTGAACCAGAAAGTGAAGAGAGCGACTTAGGTGTGGAAAATAGACGACTTTATCACATTTCACCAATTTGAACATGATTCTGGAAATCCTCTCTCTGTTTGTAGATGGAGCTTAACCTTGCTTTTTATTTTTCCTTCAGAAATTGACAATGAGGGAGTGATTGAACCAGACAATGATGACCCTCAAGAAATGGGAGATGAAAGTGTGGAGGTAAGCACAGTATTTCCAATGTCTGTGGCAGGAGGAAGGATAGGGAGAGGTTTTGAGTTTCATCAAGGATAGCAGCTGAGGGGGGACGAGTACTCTACTAGCTAGGTAGCCAGCTATTGCTTTGGCTCTTCTCCTCCTAAATAGTAAAACTTACTGGCTTAAAACCACAGTCTTTTCTTGTTCAAGGTTTGAGTCCATCAAAAAGTTCAGTGAGGAAAATCAGGTCAGAAAACACTAAAAAATTTTGTCAAAATAGCCATGAAAACTATGTATATAAAGTCTGCCATTATTCAACTTTTGAGCCTTTTCTGGCTAAAATTAATGGTGGCTAATGTCTCCAAGCTGAAAGCAAAGGTGTGTGTGTGGGGGTTGTTTGTTGATTTGTTTTTGTGGTGTTTTTTTGTTTAACTATGATTTCAATGCAAATTAAAAACAAGGTTCTGGAATTGGAAACCTGGAGCTCCCTTCTTTGGCACTGTTTTAGCATGGTAATTCTGGCCTGGACTCTACAGCTTTTGGGTTTTGTGTGTTTCATTTTCTTTATTTTCTCAGGTAACTGAAGAGATGATGGATCAAGCTAATGAGAAGAAGATTGAAGCGATAAATGCTCTAAGTGAAGGTGATAAATTGTTTTTTAGTACATATTCAAGGACAGGAGGTTTGGTTCTCTGTTTAAAAAAACGAAGTAACCATCTTGGACCATTCTGAATGCTTTCAAAGAAGAGAAAACCTGCTTCCTGTTGGATACCCAAAACTATAGAACATGAAAGCTGCTTTAAGTACTATCTTCCCAATGTCGCTGTAGTTTTGAGCAGGGTGGGGGAATGAGGTACTGCAGCATCTTAATTACAAATTGATTGTTAGAGTGCTTCTCTACGTGTTATGATTAGTGTCTCTAGTGGTTTGTCTTAATGCAGTGAAAAACTGTGTAATAAAGAGGTGACTTCCTATTTGGTTGCATATAATGTTAAACGTACAAATCTAACTGGGAAAGGTCTCTCTTCCCCTCCAGCATTAATTTTGGAGTTTGTACTTCAGTAACATAGCGAGAGGGAGAAACTGATTTTCCTTTGTGGTTAATGTTCCATTTAAGACGTGCCTGGGGACGTAACGCCCTGTAAAGCAAGTTTGGCAATTTGGGTGTAATTCCATTGCGTAATCATTGAAACTTTACTGGTACTTACATTTAGGTGAACTTCAGAAGGCTGTCGACTTGTTCACAGATGCTATCAAGCTGAATCCTTGTTTGGCCATCTTGTATGCCAAGAGGGCAAGGTGAGTCATTATAAACTAGTGATTTATGTTTCTGCCTGTTCTGTTATTTTCCTTAAGGAACCAAAATATAATGGCATCTCGAGGATCTATGTAAACTTAAACGACAT